AAAAAAAAAAAAAAAAAAAAAAAAAAAAAAAAAAAAAAAAAAAAAAACAACAAACAAACTTGTTTCAAGTAGTATGAACCAAAAGGGGAAAGTTCTAGGTCTTTCCTTGGTCATACAACTGTAATGGAAGAGAAGGAATGCACCTCCAACATTGCCTGTTGAAAAAATTGAAATGAAACCATGGATTGTTTTTGTGATAATGGATGTTAATATCCACCCATGTGGATATTGATATCCACACTGTTGCTTAATTAACAATTTGATTCAATTAAGCTCAGAAATATGAGGTTGCATTTCAGTGCCTGAAGCAAGGTGATGAACCAATTTGACCGAAGTCAAATAATGGTGTCTAAAATCGAAATATTTGCTTTATCCATTAACCACACAATAGGTACTCTATGTTCATATGGATGTACAGTATTTATCTCACAATAGAGTTATTTATAATTCAGAGTTAATTGTTAGTAAAGTGATAATGTTTCTTCAATCACATTTATCTTCCCACAAGAACAACAAGACCTCTTCCATGCAAATGAAACACCACACAGGCGGTGAGAACTGGCCAAGTTGTGTTAGTGTGATGAAAAGACAAACTGAAGATCCTAATTAGGGATGAGAAGATTGAAAAACCAAAGMCCTGGTGGGTTGGAGCTGGTTCAGGATAATTCTTTGTCTACTTTTAGCTTCATCTTTTCCTGTGTTCTTCAGTTGCCTAAATGCTGTGCTCACCCTCATGGCCAATGGACCCCTCGTGACCTTTTAATGTAATTAAAATTGCCAATTTTTCTCTTCCAGAGTAAGGACAGATGAGATAAAGGATGTAGTTCCTTTTCTGGCTCTCTGTGATCGGTTGCCATTGCTTTCCATGGCACATAGAATTTCTCTGCTATGTTTTTAAAAATGATGAATTAACTACCTTGTTTTAATCTGGTAAAAGACTAAACTGGATTTAAGATCTGCAATAACCAGAGGCATAACTATCACAACAGCAGATTTTCAAGGCAAACCAGAGAAAGATGTACCCAGGCTTTTCTCTGTCAGAACATTTGAATGAAATAAAACACAACTGCACATATTGAAAAAAAAAAAAAAAAAAAAACAACAAAAAAACCTACAAAGGATTATACCAATGTCTATGTCTTGAAAACATTATTTATAATTTTTTTTTCATATAATGCAATTTATTATTTTTCATATTGGGATGCTTATAAAATCAAATTATGTACCCATGGAGTACCCATACTCTTTATTTATGTACCAAGAAAAGAAATTTATGTACCCATACTATAGAATTTATACACTCATGAATTTAACCCTTGCAGTTTTGTTTTACTTTTGCACCAGACTGAATTTTCTGAACTGCTCATCCCTGTGTAGGAAATTTCCCTCCTGTGCCTTCCATGCAAACACAAAAGAAACAGCAAGTGAACTAAATGTTATCAGCCTCTTTAGGTTGTGATTTGTGTTTTTCCCCAAATCTGAGGTTTCCTTTCTGCACAATTAGGTGTAAAATTAACTGAACATTTGCACATTCTGCTAGGAGAATAACAGTTAGCAACATTAAGAAGTTGAAAGGCCACAAAATCCTTGAGGATTTGTTAATGCTGCCCCTGACTCTGCCTGTGGGTTTGCAATCCACACCTGCTCACTGCATCACTTGGTTCTCACCTACGTTTCAGGAGACCACTAAAGTCAAGTTCTCCTGCATCCTCTTGTCCTTCACCGCTGTTATTAACAGAAAAAAAGATCAAATGTTTGTTTAAAATACAGGAAAACTTCGACAGCACACATTGCAAACACTTCTCATACGCTCAAYGCTGTCCAGGCACGCGAAAAATTGGATAAAATCAACACAAACTTGTATGCTTTTTCACACAAATCACTGTGGGCGCTTGTGAAAAACAACACAAAKGTTTGTATTGCCGCTTCTTATACTCGGATGGCAAATTTTTTGCAAGTGCACACTTGGTAAATTTGCCAAGGTTTTGTGTTAGATTTCAGTAACACAAACAAATGGGAGCCAGTTGACACAAGCAGCTTTGTTTTCCATTTTCCATGGTGAGGGTGTGTAAAAACAAAGGGCTTGTGCTGATCTCTTCYTGTGGATTCAGAACAAAGATTTGCATTGCTGGGTGGTGCTTCTGACAATGCATAGCTCTGTCAAATACTGATGAAAAGGACTTAACCTGAAAGATTTAACCTTTCTCTAAACAGAGGGAGAAAACAGTTACAAACAAGAATGAAACAGTACATTGCACATTTTTTACAGTAGAATCACCGTCCTATGAAGGTTCATTTCTTTCTGTAATGTGATCTTAAGCAGAATTACCTYGTCACAAAACACATGCAGACAAAAGAAATGTCCTAAATATTTCTAAAATAGGCAAAATATTGGAAATCTTAACTGAAATTATGGCAATGTTTAATCCAGCTTCTGCATGCAAGATATTACTAAGAAAATCAGAAAATACCAAGATCTCTTCATCTGCTTGGTCAGAGTAGTTATTGCATTTTTAAAGTGATCTGAAGAAAGAAATGCACCTTGAATGTAATATCTTTTGCATTTTCTCTTTAAATTAAACCCCTTTGAATAAAAGTAGTTATTTCTGAATCAAAGTTTTACTTCTAGATTAACAAACTGCATTCATTATGTTTGTAAAATATTTTTATTCTATATATATTTTTTCATATATTTCATCGTACAAAGATGACACCTATACTGGTTAGAATCGCTAGAATTTCATCAGAAAGGTAACAAAATTTAAGACAATGCTTTATCTTACATTTTCTGTAATATGCTATTTGTTGGGGTTTTTTTTAATTGATGGTATTAACTGTTCACTGCAAGATAACAAAGCCAGATACTGCCTACTTTTAATCAATGTGAATTTCCTCTCTGCTTTTAATCAGTGCAAGATTGGGACTGGCAACTTTTGTATTGTAGCTGACGGCTTCCAGGAAAAGTGCAGTAGAATATTTTGGTGAGCAAAAATTAATTTTTAAAAATCTTCAAAGAAACATTTATTTAATTGCCTTAAATATTCAATCTTCCCTTAAAGTAATTGTAATTTCACAGTAGGGGTATCTAATATCATATGTACTATGTGTCATAAGTATTTCATTCAACCTGCAAGCAATTACCCTAAATCCTACTTTTTTAATCTATATTTACAAAAAGAGTTCTATAAACACAAGTTCTGTGTGTGTTACCAGTATCCATTACTGGGGGTGATCACTGAAGTTACCTTCTTTTGAAWGCAGATCTGATGTCAATGGATGGAGCAGCCTGGGAAGATTCTAGGAAATAAGGGTATGACTGGAATTAAAAGCATGATCTGAAATTTGTGTGATTTATGAAATCAGTGTAATTTGGATTGCGAAATTTATTCTGTTTCCTGCTAAGTGACCAGGTTTTAAAGGGAAGGAAAGAAAGGAAGAAAAAGAAAGAAGGAAAGGAAAGTTGGAAAGGGAAAGGGAAAGGGAAAGGGAAAGGGAAAGGGAAAGGGAAAGGGAAAGGGAAAGGGAAAGGAATCCTTATAAATCTTTACAGACACAAGTGTAACCTTACCAGTGACTTCAAGGTCAAAAGAGCAGCTATCAAATTTGTCCTTATAGGATACTTCACAGCGATAGTTCCCTGCATAATTTTCTTTAGCTTTGATGATGTGCATCTCAAATGTGTGAATCTAAAAACAAAACACAATTGTTTATTAGTGTGGGGGATGCATTTGCACAAAGCAAATGAAGTCAAGAAGTCAAAACATAAACCTTCAGACGTACACCAGGATCTAGGAATAACTCAAAAAATAGGCTCTGGAAAGAAACTGGAAGTMAAAAATGATATCAGAATATTTTGATTTCCATGCCATTACTTGTCTTGTGCTGAGAGAACAGAAAATCTGCTTCTGCAGAGGGTCGGGTCACAACTGAAATCTGTGTGGGGAAGCCAGGGTTAGATTCCACCACTCATGAACTTCTCTGCCAGTGTTCTTAAAGTGATCTTYAAGCTCTCTTTGGAGCTTTGCCCCCCTAGGAAGGAAGGATAAGGACCCACCTTGGTGTGGCGCTCGAAGGATTCCTTCAGCTGCAGGTGCTTCCCTGCTTTGCTGGCCAGATCCATCCATTTCCCTTTGAACCACTTGACATTTGGCTTYCGGAGGAGGTCTTTGGCTTCCACTTTGGCTATGAATGTGATATTCCCACCTTTTAAAAAAGGGAAAAGCATAGTGCAGCTGTTGAGGAACACGTGCTTGGATCTGTAAAAGTTTCTTTGTGTTCTACCAATTCAGGGTCAGGTGGAGTCACACAGAGTGTGAGAGCACTGCAGTGATTTACAGATTAATGATTTGGGGTCTGGAACCTTTCTGGCCGTGTCAGGGTGGAGCTTGAGGCACTGACAAGTAGGATAAATTTGAGGCAAAACTCCGTGTCCTCATGGGTGAATTGTTCCTAATATTTGACTTGGCTTGCTCAAAAGAAGCAAAGGTGTTCCCAATCTACCAGGCACAGATAAACTCCAGTCTGGGAAAGAAAGCCTGGAGYTTTTGATGCTCTTTTATCATTAATTCTTTAAGAAGTGAGAGGAAAGAATTATCTCTAAACAATGAATTGGGTATAGTAAAAATTCTCRTTTTTCAGTAGACCACTGCACAGCTCCTGCTGAGTTTCCATCCTAACATTTATCTAGATGGAAGATACAAATAACTCCTCACATGTTTTTTTTTCCAAATATATTCCCCCCAAATCCTCTTTCCTGCTCAAAAACTGAGAAAAATAATAGGCAYGACTAAAAGAAATCTCAGCATCTGACCACATCTTTGTGTACCCAAGGAAATAACAGACACATTAAGTGGCCTGTACTGAATTTCTTATCCTTGCTACTTCCATGCATGGGGTTGGACTTCCTTCCCCAGGCAGCACGGTTCAGGAATGCAGTTTGGAAGTGACTTTTCTGTCTGTCCCTATTTGCTGCTCTCTGGTTCACAACATGGAAATTCCTTACAGTGCTTCAGCTGGATTCCTCTGGCTGAAATCAGAGTTTACCAGCTGTGAACCAGAGTTTATACCCCTGGGCYGAAACAGAGCTAGTCCAGGGCAAATCCCCCAGAACGATGATGCTGGGGSTGACCCTTCCAGCTTTCCTAGACAGCTGATCCTACTCAGCTTCTTGCTAATTTACACCCAGCTGTACGGTACAAAATTTGACCTGGCAGTCTCTGAGCTCTGCTGCAGATTTTTGGGAAGATCTTCCTGATGCATCAACAACAGCACAGCCAGCAGTGTCATAATAACTGGCTTTCCTCTCCTGAAACTCTACCTCTCAGAAAATGGTTAGATTTTGAGCTTGTCTTGAATTAAACATTTGGGTTTGCGTCTCTCCACATAGTCCTTGTGCCTTCAGACCGGAGTTCACACCCTGCTAAAACCAGAGGCAGTGCTGGCAGCTGAGTAAATTGATTTTGTGTGTGAATTGATTTTGTTGCTGAGCACTCACCAACGCTCACCGTCCCGCTCTGAGGTTTCTCCACGAACAGAGTGGATCTCTGCGAATCGTCGCGTTTTTCTGACTCTTCTGGAGCTCCTTCTCCRAGAGACCACACTGAGACGCAGAGAGAGAGGGAAATCAATCATCTGAGGGGGTTTTACTCCCTCCAAAGCACACTTACCTGAACTTCCTAAACTCTCTAGCCCTAGCACCTTTCTCTTCAGGTGTCCTGCGAGGTGTGTAAGTTTTGTTCACACTGACATCCACACTGTGTGGGAATCCTGCAAGAGCGCTACCTCTGTGGTGACAGAAAATGAAACTATCAGGGAGGAAGAGAGGGGACGGGCACTGAGCAACTCGAATGGCACCAGCATTCAACCATGAGCGCTTTGCAGAGGCCAGGCACAAAGGTCAGCTCTTTGTTTTTCAGAAGGGACGCAGGTTCTGAAAACACAAACAGCTGGAAGCACAAAAAAACCCCCACATTTGACGCACGATTTCTCTGTCAACCTGAGCTAAGACCATTGTACAAGATAGTTCTTCCTCTAAATCTGCAAAGTAGGGCAGGGATGAAGCTCACTTCTGAACTTTCATCTTCTCTGCCATGGCAGAAGCAGAGAATTTGGGGATTGGTCAATATCATGTCCTGCCACGTGAATTTCATGTGATATTTCATGGCAAAAGCAGTTTGTGAGATGGAAATGATTGTGACAATGCTCAGACACAGCAGCTTCTCTTCTGGAAGTTGGGATTTTAGAACTGAAAAGGAAGAGCAGAGAGAAGCAGCAAATGAGTGGTCTCCCCAGGGGAGTGGGTTGGACTGGGACAGCTTTGTGTTTTTGGGGTTTCTGTTTGTCTGAACAGCCCTGGCTTTGTGCTGTGCCAGGTAAAACCATGGGCAAAAGAGATTTCCGGCAGAAAGTGCAAGGAGAGCAAGGCAGTGGGTGCCTGTCTGTTTTGTGCYCACTTTCTGCCCCGAGACAAAGCACATCTCATATCCCAGTCTGCAATCCAAATGCCACACCTCGTTTTTTGAGGAGTTTTTGCCCGTACAGAGTGGAACCTGATTGAAGTTAGAAGTCAGAATGTTTTTTTTTGATATGTGGTAATTATTGCTAAGGGAACCTTTCCAACTCATGAAAATTTCCACCAGCCACAGCATGACAACCTTGGGAAAGCGCAACCAAATTGGTTTTATTATCCTAAAGCCTATTATGAATCTTAAAAAGGAAATGCTAGGTGGCTTTGCAATAAAATGTTATCATTCAGTCACTTGTGGGTGGTGTGCCCAACACCTCTGTGTTGTACAATATTTCTGTCATTCTTTGATATAATTCTGCCTGCTTGTACAATATTTCTCACAGGTAAAGACATTCATGTATATACACACAAGTATATACACATTTTTATACACATAMATGAAATGATATACACGGACACAAATGAACACAAATATATATAGATGTCTATCTATATATCCTCTCCATAATCTAAATGCTTAGATTATGCTGCTAGAACGTGGGAATAGATGGAAACAACATGAGAAGAAGGTTATTGGTAGGAAGAGGGTGAAGTGATGATAGCACAGGACCTGGTGATGGTAACAAACCTAACACGCCACGGGGTGAAATGGAAAAAGGGTATTAATGCATGGAAAAGGCTTACACAGCATCATTAATTTGGTACCACATGAAAAAAAACCACACCCAAATATTATCATCAGCCTTCGATATTAACATTTTCCTATTTATGAAACAAACAGAACAGGAGGTTTGGCGCGGGCATAGTTGGCTATGCCAGCTCTACAGCCATGGTTGAAGTACCAGCTGCTCATTTCGTTCCAGAGGCTGCAAATCCTGAAAACACCCCCAGAGTGGGTGCAAAGGGCGTTACCTGCCGGGGTAGGAAGAAAGAGGTTACGAGGGTTTGGCTACGTTGGTCCTCCCACAGTCTGCTGGGACCTGTGCGTGGGTGAGGCTGGGTGGGGAATGGAATTCCTGCAGGCTGGAATGGAACAGCTCTGTATCTATCTATACAGGAACAGCTATAGATAGATAGGTATGTATGTATGTGCCAAATACATGTCCTGTTCTTAGCCTTTTCTCTAAATAAATCTATCTTTCCTGGTGCTTGGAAGGCATTTCAACAGCTACAGCTTGCTACTGGCTAAACAATGGAAATAAAGTGTTATCTCTTAAAAATGAAGTCTAGGTGATAATTTTATTAAGTGATCTTGGGAGTGTTTCATCAGGTTTTTCAGGGTGTCTCACCTGAATCTTTTCTTTCCGCTGGCTTAGACATCCCATCTGAAAGGGAAGAGCAATTCAGGTGACACCAGCTTGGAGATCACAGCTTAACTGACCTCACATCACTGGGATTTTAACAGCATTGATTCTTCATACAAGATTAGACTAAATATTTAGGACAATATCCATAAGGGACTATTTGAATACCGGAAAAAAGTGTACAGCTAAGAAAAAGMCCCAGAAATCTTCCCCACTTTTTTCTAGAAGATCTAAATTAGTTTAATTCCGTCCAAGATTTTCTTTGGAAGGGCTAAATGAGGCTGATGTTTCTTCCACAATTTGTGTAGTTCCAGGTAACAGAGGAATTTATGTTGTTCAATATTTATCTGAGGGACCGTACTTTTGATTGTTTAATCAGTATATTTATTTATCTGGAGTTGCTTTCAGAGCTTCTAATCAATATTTTACCTTCCACTGGGAGAAGATCTACTGAAGACCTCAAGGCAGGACTGGAAAGGGACTTAAATGCTATAAAGGTCTTGTACTTCTGAACAGAAATTAATATAATGTAGGGCATTTAAAAAAAAAATAATTCTGAGTCATATGTTTTGGGTCCAGTCCACTGGTTTGGGCTCTTTCTTCATTAATAATAAGAGAAAAATACATACATACATACACACTCAAAGCACTACCACAGTCCTAACCTGCTGGTGGAGTACTAACTGAGGTGTCATCTTCATCTGTGAAAAGAAATACAAATGGAAAAGCACATGAAGAAACTGAAAGCACAGGCCATCAGCTGCTTTAAWACAACTACATGAAAATGTAAAACCTGCAAAAGAAAGGGAAATAAACTGCAATATTCAGGTGCATTCACAATGGAAGCTTCAAACTGATGAGGAAAGCTTTGYGTCATTCAGTAGCTGAAATGGTAAACCTTAATGTTTCAAGCAAATAAAAAAAATGGGATGTGGACTGTGATCTATTATTAAATTATGAGTTTATATGAGAGCTGCGGMGTGGTTCTGTTTGTTAGAGATGTAATCCACAGGAATTACAATAAGAAAGCCACAATGAGATGAAGGGCAGTCACATATCTAACCTGAGGAAGATGTCATTTCTCTGATGACCACGTCTGCAATTAAAATGTGCACCACATATGCATTCAGCGTTATTAAATCAAGATATGAAAAAGTTAAAACCCCGTATTGATAGTTTGTAATTTCTATGCTACAATATTAATTTAAAAAGCAAGGAAAAATCTACTTTTTTTTTTTTTTTTTTCTCGTATCAACAGGAGAAAAATTTTAAATAAGGAAAGAACTATTATCATCATGCTGGATTTTCCTTTTGATCACACCTAAAGTTGATCATCAGGTATTAAATCACTGCAAGCAATTGTTACTCAGATATTTAAAAATGTTTAATCACATCTAATTCTTTGAAGTATATATTTATATAACTCAAAGCCTGAAAAAAACCATGAAACTAGCATCAAACTGTAATCATGATTATTAGAAAAGCAGAATAAGGTAAAGACCATTTTAACAAGTGTTACCTACATATTTCTGAATTTTAGATGCTGACTGGAAACCTCAGAGATCAGCTTTGATAAAAATAAGCAAAAGGTCTTAGTGTCTAAAAAGCCCAATGGTAAAAAAAGAAAGAAAATTACCAAGGTATCCTTTGAAAGGCAAGAATAAACTAGATATATTTAAGATTTAATATATAAGTAATATAAAAGTAACAAGTCTTTACACAGTATTAGCAAATAATCTGTAGAACATTTCAAAATGGAGAACAGAATTGAACAACTTCGGGAAAATATTAACCCACATCTTTAAAGATACTTTTCTTTGGGTTTGGGGTTTTTTTTTATATCCTATATTTGTGTTTCCATAATCAAATCTTAAATCTGAAGTAACCTTTAGATTTTGACCTCAAAGTTATAATTTATCTATATTTTTTCAAGGAAAAATGTAATAATTATGACAAAAGCACATATGAAATACAGTTACATTTTCATAAACACTGGCAATATTGAATTTTTGGGTTTGTTTAACCACTGAAGCCTAATTAAAAGCTTGTTAATAGAATTGATCTACTTAGCCATAACAGTTTACTCATTCCTTTTTAATGATTCATCAAACTTCTTTTTAAAGATCCCTTGGGAAGAGGATGAGAGTTGTAAAATTATGCCTACACATGAAGGATTAATGTGTTATCTTGCAAATACCTTTTCTYATTCATAAGAGCAAAAAAAAATTTAATTCTTTGATGGAACTCATGACCTGCATCATCCAACGCCATCAGCAGAGGTTGAAGATTTTGATTTTCAGCAAAAGCACAGTAATGATTAAGTCATGTCAGATGTTTTAACACACTGTATTAAATGGATTAAATGGATGCAAGGCTGTGTGCTTCCACTGCACTTCCTTCTCCATATCTCATGACAGCAGAAATTGTGTTTTGGGCTCTTTTTGTCAATAATGTCACCACTGTGATTGATGGTGGCTGGAAAAAAATAATTTAAATCAGCCTAAAACATTTGATGTGATGCATCCTATGTGATAATCAAGGTATGAAAGGACCACTCAGATTTCTCTTTAATTTAATCATTTGGAAAATGAAGAAACCAAAAAGACATTATGGGCTGATAAGATGCATTGCTCCATAAAGATCTTTATTCTTTGTCTCTGGCACATTCTCATTAACATATTCATGTTTTTTTTTCTCTTGTTTTAAATGATAAAATTAACTGTGGAGCAGGCTGAGCTTCGTTGGGAATAGAGTCTTACTGGACAAAAGAGCTCTGCCTATTCCAGAAGAAGCCATTCTAAAATATTTTTATGCTCACACTTACTGTGACCTTAATATTACAATTCCTGACTGCTGGCATAGCAAATGTAGAATTTTTTATTTTTTATTCTTTTTTTTTTTTTTTAAAAGCAGTTACTGATTATATAAGTGGCATCAAGGATTTTAGATCTACTTTCTCCTGATCTGAAAAGTACCACCCAAAATGGAAGCTGCTCTTCTGCCATCAGTCACATTGTTGATAAACCTTTTTTTGTTTTGCAGAAGTGGCAAAATCCTATTAATCGTATATTTTGTGTAAATATAAATATATAAATAAAACATAATTGTATTTTTTTTCCTAGTCTGTTTTATTATTTATGCTGCACTCACAGAGCACAGCAAGACTGAGGGCTTCAAATTTATCTTTCATCACCAATCTGATTTTCCAAGGATTTCAGCAATCCCATCAAGGGAACTCGACTCTTTGGAAGTGGTAAATGAAACACATCCCTACAGGAATTTTTAGCAGGGAGATGAATAGATGGAATTTTTAGTAGGGAGATGGATAAGGGAAACCTGGAAAAATACAAAGATTACACATGCAATAACATTTTAGTAGGTGGTTGGAAGAAACCTAGAGGAGAGGTATCAGTAAAACAAGCAGGAATTTTAGAAGCTCTCTGAATGGCTGGATGGGACCTAGAAAAAGGAATGAGCAAATTGATATTAAAATTTGATTAATATTCCAGCAAGTGGGAACAAAATTACAACATATTTGATCTGTAAGATAATGCTAAAATTAAAAACAAAGACACAAGCATTTAAATTGAATGAATATAAGRTAATGTAGTAAATTCGGAGGAATTTCTGCTGAGTCACTTTTTTTCTCTGAAAACAAAATGGATGATCTGATATATCCTGAATTTTTACATTATTTCAGCTATTTTTAACTGTTTTATGTTATGAAAGAAAATTTTATGTTTGCTGCTCTGAGCTACTAATTTACAGCAAAATAACCACAAGAAACAAAGAATTTACGACGCTGTTTTTCATTTTATAACTTCACAGTGAACACAAAAGAATATAAATATGGAATTTCATGCAGACAATAAGTACCAGAAAGATAGAACAGTAAAAAACAAACACACAGTTAGGTGCACTCTGTCTTCCTGACTTCTGCTGTTAATTTTGTCTTGGAGATGAGGTGAAAATTATGGGCTATGGGATTTACATGAGCCCATCTCATGATCCTACAGTGTGCTCTGCCTTATAAATTATCATCAGAGAGGTCACAACTGCTGACACACAAGAATTGTAGAATTGCTGTGGAATTCAGATTTGAAATCTTTCCCATCTCATTCCCATTGAGGGAAATACCCAAATCTGCTGCTTCTGAAGCTGCAGAGAGGATTTTTTACATACAGCTTACATAAAGCTAACATCTAGCTGGTTCTTCATAATTTCCTTGCTGAAGTGTTCATTTTCGAGTGTAAATGACKTTGGACAGATTGGAAGAATGGACCCTTTTCCTTTTCTGTGAATTATGCTCACCATTATAATGATTTTTTTTTTTTTTTTTCTGGCACACAAACCTGAAGAATGGAACCTTTTCCCTTTCTGTGAATTATGCTCGCTRTTATAAAGATTTGTTTTTCTGGCTTACAAACCTGAGGGAATCACCCTATAAAAATATATTTTCCCTTACTTGGTGATGCTCTGCAACAAAGCAAGAGCTGATAGGAACAACAGCACAGTAACTAATTTTAAAAAATATTACTACTGAGTGTTTGGCAGTGATATCCACTTTGCTTTGCAGAGATGACAGTTTCCCTGGAGCATGGCAGAAAGTCATTTACATATTAGTATTCAGATTTTCACTGGAATTTTTAGAGAGGCAACAGCTGCCACCGTGGGCTAAAACTGCAAACAGTTTCCATACTAGGATCTCAAAAAACAATTTTTTTTGAGAGTTTTCTCTTAGGAGGAACACTTTTCCTCCTAGAAAATAMTTCTGCCCTTCACTAAATTCCAAACAGAAACATAATAATGGATAAGAAGAGAATAGAAGTATTGGGTAAAGTTACCTACCAATTTTTTTCATTTTTATTCAGTGAAATGTAGGCTTGTAAGGAGTGGGAAATCACCGTTCACGTTCAGTTTGGGAACAAACATTTCTCTCRTATCCAAATTAAAGCAAGCAGAACTAACTGTTGGAATAGCTTCAGGMAAGCTTTTTCCTATCTTTTTTTTTTCCTATCACTAGGCATGCAAATTATTTCTGAATTGCATTTCCACTACCGAGTTGGCAGGTTTGATTACTCACACAAAGTTTTCTGTGTCAAAATAATAGCTTGACGCAAGGATAGCTGGCAAAATATCCTGCACTGGAGCATGGTTCAGCATTTTTATTTTCTAAAGGTGCTTGAATCACACACTCTTAGTGCTTCTAGTCTGACTCTGCTGAGAAAAATGGCCATGCATGCCTTTGCCAAAGAAATCTGTGAGTGTCAAGGATGCATCCAGTCTGCCTAAAAGATGGCATTTTGTTCGGAAGAAATCAAAAGCAAGAATTTTCAAGCGAGCCATTTCCTGATTTGCCATGAAAAACATAACCATGCCAAATGAAAAGCAAGCATTGCATCAGTTATAAGCATATCTTGGTCTGGTTTAGCCTCTGATCAGAATTAGCTTTAAAAAAAAAAAAAAAAAGATTTTTCTTTGCAAAATAAGCTGATGGGGTGTTTGATTTCTACTTTGGCAGGGCTCCTACAAAAAGTAGGGGAATTTGGCCCAGCTCCCTCAAAATTTATCTTTGTAACCAGGAGAATTGACAACAGAGCTAGAATCTAATTTCAACAGCACTAAAATATTAAAACTGGAGCTGATTTTTGCATGCATTGCTAGTGGAAAAGAGATCTATCTGTTCTCAATAAACAGTCCTTTAACACTCCTTTCACAGTAATGAGGTCAGCTGCTCTTCCAAAGAGGACAGAGAGGTCAGTGTGTGATTTTTATTTCCAAATGAAAAAAATCTATAGGGCTTTCTGAAAGGTAAAATATCAACTTTCTGTGGTGGAACAGAAACAGCTCAGAATGACAGGAGGGCATTTTCCACTTTATTTAAAAGCTACCAATGTGCACAAAATCTGAGTTTTAGCAAGCTTGGTCAAGGACAAGATCCAGGCTCATTTAAACTCAGCTTTCTGCTCATGCAAATCACTTGTAATTTGATCAATAATTAATTAATTAAACAGTCAATATAAATACTGCTGCTAAAGCACCAGTCTGGTTTGCAGAATTTTTGAAGATATTCATAAGTATCATAACTTTCTTCTGCTGGCTAAGTCATGCAGAAAAAGGATCCAGGAAGCTTCACTTCACACTCCTGAAATTTAGCACCAAAATTCTGGAATAAAGCTCAAGCAATCCAGCATCAGAACAGCTTTTAGGAATTTACTGCCCATTTTCTAAAATATGGTTTCAGACTTACCTTTACCCTTGTCGTTTCCACCGTTCTGTGGTGCTGTTTGTTCTGTGTAGGAAGTACAAGGATAGTTTTGAGAGGATCTTAAAGTGAAAAGAAAAACCTACACAGACAGCATTAAAAATGCAGGTTCTGCTGGCACTGGAAAAACAGCATTAAAGAATGGATGATAGATGTTTATATGTAAAACACTGCAATCCTGTAAAGCATTTTACAACCTGTGCATATCAATGCAATTTCTGTGTTTTGAACAGGTCATGTAAGATTGATGCTCCTGGGCTCAGTGGAAGAAAAAGCCAGGAATTTTTAGAAGCAGCAATTGTAAGTCTCTCGTTCTCATGCTAATTTTGCAAAAGGTTTTGGGATTAGTTACATATCACTGTTAATTGGGAAGAAGTTGAGTCAGACATGAGGTTCTGCCATTCAGTTTATCTTTAAGAAAAAGTAGAGAGTGTATTGAGGATGTTCTTTAGTTCTTTATCACCATCTGAATCATTATCAACACACTCTTTCCAAGACTATTTGCATTTCATTTTACTGATCAGAAGAAATGCCAGCCCATCCTCTACTCTGAACAGGTGAATGAGAATTATTTTTGATCTCACATGTATGAGAAAACTTGGACTGTACTTTCAACAAAACAATTTCCACACTTTATTTTGGTATTTGATAGAGTTCCTATTCTTTTCAGTTTCCTACCTCTTTCAATTTGCACACAAAGAAATCTAGAATCTTGTCAAATCCTGTGAACTGTGCCATCTTCAAGGGATAAACTCTCAATATCCCATTGCCTGTGAACAGTGACTTTCTGTGACAAACTTACCTGCCAGCTGCCTGACAAAACATGGGTTTGGGTGATGGTCAATAGACCAACATGGTCAGGATGGAGTTAAGATAATTTTTGTTCCATGGGGGAAACATCTGCAAGAGCCACTTGAGATTCTGATTATTCTGATTTCTTGTTCACGTGAAATGAATGAGAAATTACTGTGCAGCTATAGTAACCATGAAAATAAAACKTGAAACTTGAAAGGAAAATCTGCATTCTGGAATTGTGACAGACTCTTGGAGCTTCTGTCTGGATTCCCTAAATTTCCATTTGTCAGATTGTTCCTTTTTAATGGGACTTTTGTCCCAGTAACACCTTCATTTCCCACTGGGAACTGGGATCAGGAGGTTTCCCTGTTCTTGGCAGGTGGTAGCAGGTTCACAAAAATTTAAAAACTTCTTTAGTTTAAGTTTTCCACACTTGTGGATTGATATTGAGGAAGGAGTTCTCACAACAACTTCCCAAAAATTTCCTGGTGCAGTTCAAGGTGCTTGACTGTGCCCAATAAACTATTTATATGTTACAAAACTTGGATTCCTGAAAAAACAACTCCCCCCTTTGTGTGACAGCACTTGATAATCCAAGATAACAGCATCTGGAGCCAGGCAGAAGGAAGCCAGAAGGGACTGACACTTCCAGTTTGGAAATATCCACATTTGGTCTGTGCCTAACCAAAAAACCTCATAATACCCTACTTGTCTTTCAGAAATACAGGTAAGGAGGAAAGGAAGGGGGTTATAGAAATGCTTTTGTGTTTATTCCCATATTTTAAATAGAAATTGAGAAGATGTTAATTATCTAAAAATGTCAATAGAAGCTTTTAATGCGACAGTTCAAAGATGCTGTTCCTTTCTGCACACAAAAAGCTGTTTCTCATTTCAGTTCTAGTGGAAAGTTAAGATTGATTAAAAACATGAATTCAAGTACAAAGTATGTCAGGTAAGAGCCTAAGGGTGAAATTAATTAGTTTAATATTAACTGCACAAATTTTATGGTTGAGCAAAATACCATTAATTAAATACCAATTAACTTTCCTTACAAATATATACAGTATGAAAGATTTCATCACATAAAAATAATACAATTTATTTAACCATAACACTCATCTTGGCAAGTGATACTACTACCTTTGTCATTTTTTAATGAAAAAGTGTATTTCTGAAACAAAGACATCTTGAATCAGCCTTGTAAAATGCCAGTTAGCAAGAACATAAGGAAAGGCAGATTTAACACTTGCAGAGTATTTGTTCTGTTTGGAATTGCTGTTTAGGTTGCTGCACTGAGAATAAAATTCATAAAATTATAAATAATACAAGAAAAATAAAATTATTTTAAAAAAATTAGAAAAAAAAAATTAAAATGGTTGAATTAGACATGCATATTTTATATAAATATATTAACCATTATTAGGTGATCAGGAAATTCCTGTTGGATGAGCAGGGATGACCCAGCAGCAGTCAGAGGTGGAACATTGTTCAACTGCTTAGACACTATTTGTAATTTTCAAAGGGCTAAAAAGTGAGGGAAATGAATCCTGTGCTTGATTCTGTCAGCTTTACTCACAATGTACCTTCGAGGAGAAATGAAAGGGAATATTTTGGYAATTAAATGCTGTCCAGCATCAAAGAGGACAGTGCGATTCAGCCCCAGAATTCAGCAGCCGTCATTTACCTGTACCCTGAAGGGCACACACAATATTAAACAAATGATCATTCACAAACAAAACTTCTGAAAACATCAACATTCAGGCAAAATGAAGTGAGAATATCTCACTTGGGCAGGTTTGTTTTGCTTTTGTTGCCATCCTCTTACTTTCAAAGAGACCGTGAACACAAACCATATTAAGGTTATGCCGTATTTAGTCTCATGCAATTGTTGTTAATTCTGCAGCTCAAATTAGCATTTTTTACACTAACCTGGAGGTGGCGGTGCACTTTCATTTTCAGTTTCTGAAAAAAATGAGAGAAGAAGACAGATATTGAGCTTCAAATACATGAAAATATTTTTCAAACATTTGGTGCACGTTTGTTGACTTTGAGTTCTTTGATATTTTAATGCAGTTGTGAACTTTTTTCGCTTTCCTGCACACAATATGTGACAACTTCTGAGTGACAAGGTCAGAGATCTAAAGTGTATATTCTGCAAACAGAGGTCAGTGTGATTGTTTAGTGTGGAGATGGGTAATATCCATAGAAAAGAGGAATATTTTAGGTTGGAAAAGATCTCTAAGATCATCGAGTCCAACCATTAACCCAGCAATTCTGAGCACTACTAAACCATGGCCCCAAGAGSCACAGCTTCGTATCTTTTAAATTCCTCCAGGGATGCTGACTCCAAATCTCTGGGCAGCCTGTTCCAGTGCTCAAAAACCCTTCCAGTAAAGAAATTTTTCCTCATATCCCATCTCAGCATCCCCTGGTGCAATTTGAGCTCATTTCTTCTTGTGCTGCTTGGGAGAAGAGACAAACCTGTACAAGTCTACAGTTTCCTTTCAGGCATTTTTCAGAGAGTGGTGTGGTCTCTTCCTCATGTGCAGGTTTTCATATTAATTGGCACCCAGCACATTTCAGGAATTACAGTTCTGGAATATCATGGAATCCAAGTTGATTTTCAAGTTTGGGTTTGATTTGTTTAAACCAATTGGTCTTGACTGTGTGCTTAAAGGTACAACTCACCAAATCAGTGGATTCTGTCAAATAATCTCCTATTTTTAGGCAAAATTTTCACCTGCTGAAGTAACATCTGATATGATTTTAATCATGAAGTGTAATAGATCCATTAATTTAGGGATATCACAAATAGAGTGAATGCAGAGACTTTAATCTCGTTTTTACCACACTGTTAGATCTAGAGTTCAATGTTCAGTGCAAGCAGAAAGTTAAAAAAWAAAAAAAAAAAAAAAWGTCTTCTTAGCTGCTCTCAGTAACCCCTGTTTGGGTTTTCTTTCTTTCAGTCATGATTTTTGAGGTAAATCACTTCCCTTTCTGATGTGACATACAGAAACCAAGCTTTTTATCCTGTTTAAATGTTATCCTTTTGGGATGACTTGTTCCCCCATCTGAAAACATCAGAACAAATTGACTAGCTAAAAGATACTTTTAAAGCAGAAAAGGAAGCTTATTTTTAATATTTAAAAGCTTTAGTTACTTTAGACAGGTTGAAAACAGCAATATTTATTGGCACTAGTGCACTGACTTACAGTTTAACTACTTAGAGCAAGCAAAGATTTAAAAGGTTGAGATCCTGAAATGTAACAGTGGATGTTCTTTGCCATGAGCATTAACCTTTGGGACCCCACCTCAAGTAAGATTCAGGAAACAAAATTTCAATCTCTGTCACACAGAAATGCTAGTAAAATATAACTAAATATAATTCTCATTTCTCAATAAATACATTTAATGTTTAAAGGGGAGGGATATTTATAGTGCAAATAGAATTTTAGGCTAAGGTTGTGAAGTTGGTATGGTTTAGGAACTTCCAGTCACATACATGCAACAGCAAATTCTTGTGCAGGTTTCAAAGAGAATCCCTTGCTACAAGAAAATAACTTGTGCTGATCACAGCACCCATCATAAAAAAAGAAAATAAATTTATTTTATATTAAAGATATTACAGACCAACACACACAGTGCGACAATAATAAAATACCTTTGCTTAAGTTCATAGCAATTTATTTCTTTTGGTCTCATTACTGACATACTAAGTTTTGTTTTGCGGCCTAAAAAAAGTGAAAATTTTTCAAATGAAAATAGGAAAATTGAAACACAAAAAGCAAACATATTTGCTTTACTACCATGACATTTCTCACTGTTTCCGCTGAGAGTAAGATGCTTCTGAGACATGGTTGTGGCATGAAAGTGTGTTTCTTGCATGGAAAAGTAATGGCAGAAAATTATTGATTGTATATTTTTCCTTCTGGAATTTAAAAGCTAGAAACAGGGAGTATTCTTATGAACACTGGATTAGAAAACTCCCTGGCTCACCAGCAAGATTCACAAATTTATAAATAAAAACTCAGGAAGTAAAGCACTTTCTAGTCTCAGATGAAAGCCTCATGAGACTTTTGAGGCACTTTCCTTGAACTTTTCTTTCATTTTGAGACTTATTTCATGGCTTCACCAACACTATAATGCTGCTCAGCAATCACACGTCTCACAAGCCCTGCCTTACCCAGCACAGATGTTACCCAAAATTCATGACACAGACCAGACCATAATAATCATGTTTCAGGCCTGAACTTCATAAATACGGACAACAAAGGAGATATTCAAAACCTGAGCACTCTTAGAGGAAACCTACTCTATTGGRGTCTGTTTTTATAAGGGAGTTTGGATTAGACAATCCCCAAAAGTCCTTTCCAACCTCAGCTATTCTGCAGTTCTGTGATGGGATGGTGACTGAAGCCAGACCAACAAGTCAGTGATTTGTTCCCTAAAATACAATTCGAGGCTGTTCAAGTTACTGCTGAGAAAACTGAGGCGAGAAAAGAACTCAAAGGAGAGACCTGAAGTGCAACGTGGCAAGAAAAAAAGAAAGGCGGAGAGTTCCAGGCACCGGGGGTGGCGGAGACATGGGAGATACCTCAACATAATCTTTTGGCCATGTGCAGCCCCTTTCATGGTCATGCCAGGCTTACAGCTCCACTCCCGAGGACAGCCAGGAAAAAAAAAAGCATTAATAGCCACGGGTCATCTCCACCTCCCCAAAGAATGACAGCCCTCTCTGGCTGACCTCTGCAGCGGGCTCGGCAGCCAGGACAGTGCCCTGCACACCCAACCCGCAGCTCATGGCTGGGCTCCTTCCCCGGCAGGCATGCTCCCTCCCTGGAGTCCCTGCATGCCATTCCCCGCAGCCTTTGCCTAATTTGGTGCTCTGGCACCGCATTGTCCGGGGGCTGCTGGTGGGGAACATCTCCACGTGGAGTCCTGCATCCCTCTGGAGAAGAGCAGCTCGCTGGGTTGTGATGGAGCCCCTYGGGACAAAGGGGAAAAAGGCTCTCGGAGGTCCAGAAACCGGCGAATCCACACCGTAGTGTCAAGTGCAGCTTCCACAGAACAACTAAAGTCTACCTCCGCTTCAGAGTTTCTGAAACAAAAGGTTTCTTCTCTAGAAATCCTTCTAGAGCATGCTCTCTACTGAGAAATAATCTGATTTGAGTGCAGCTTCCACAGGAAATTCCCAATCAGAGCAGAAGCAAGAAACTGCAATACATCATTACCTTTTTAATGAATTTCCATGGAAATTTTTTGTTATTTTTAAATTATGTTTTTGTAATATAAGTATAATAATAATATAATAATATATCAATAATAATATTATTATATAGATAATATCTCTAGTTTATATCTAATATATATATAATCTTGTATCTAATATATATATCTATTCTATTATATCTATCTATAATATATATAATATATGCATATATATAATATATGCATATATATAATATATGCATATACATGTGTGTATATACTATATCATAATATACCTAAAACCAATAAATTTCTTCATTTATAAACATATACATTAAAAAGAAATAAAAGTAAAAACAAAAAAAAGATGTAATTTTTAAAATATGTCTACAAAAACTTTTCTAAACAGACATTGGTCCCAAGTCTTTACTGAAGAAGCTGAGAATGTTGTTTTTCAGCAGTTTATGCTGTGCTAAAACACATCCTGGGGTTAGTCCTTGGCTGTGAAGCTTGTGATGCATCTGGCTATATGTAATTTACAGCAAGAATAGGAATAAAGTGGCTGAAATCCTACAGCAAGAACAGGAACGAGCTGGGCAGTCCTCTCTCTATGGCTACAAAAGGACAGTATATTAAGTGTAGTTAGCAAATACAGAGAAAGCACAACTGCCACTGAGATAATATCTCCAGAAATGCTTTCATGCCTCAGCCATGTCATGAGATGCATTCAGGATCCAGTTTGACACAGGATATGAGTGCTGAGAGCCAAGACATTTTTATTTGTAATTTATGATTGTATACGCACACATACGCGCTTGGAAATCAGCAGGAGACGCAACCTGACCCACTGCCAACTATTTCCCATCTCTTTCCCACATTTACTATGTTCAGGTTTTCAGATAAAATAAGACTTAAAATCTCTTGCTCTGTATATAGACAACTGAGCTTTAAAAAGTTCCACGAGATTACTGATGTGCTACAGTTACGGAAATGCTTAAGAAGCGCGTTAAATTGGGACTATCATCATTTAAAATTTCAATTCCATTTTAGGCATCTGACTTGCAACAGCCAGAAGAAGCTTTGGCAGGGAATGGGGACAGGGATGTCATTTTGGGTGTGGTGGCCAGTTCTCAAGAGCTCTGGATTCCCACTTGCACTGMCTTCCCTGACAGCACTGAGCGTAGAAACCCTCTGATATCACATTTACTGTGATCATAACGAGGTATGATGACTGCTATAAAACAGTCTCCACGTCTACTCTTCTGCTGTTCTGGAAGCAAAATATCCTGGAGACCTTCAGTTCAGACCTTTCAAGAGCTACATCCTGTCAGCAGGYACATGGGGAGTGAGGTCTGGCTGGATAACCATCGTTCAACAGGTTTGTTTTGGGTGGGCTTAAGAACTTCCAATTATTTTGGAAAATGAGTAGTGGGTGKTTTTTTTTTATTTTTTTCCCTTAGGTAAGTAAAAGAAATGACCTTGAGCATGAAATTGGGACTTGCAGAAAGCCTAAAGATAGCATTTCACCGTCGCTGGGCCGGAACATCCGCAGGAAGGAGGAGGAAAGTCTCCCGCACTCATTTCTCCCTGCAGTTCCACACAGATCAGTTACAACCCAGCAAAGAATGGCCAAGGGATTTAGGATCCCACCCAGCCTGAGCTGAGGAATTGCCCCCCCATTCGCCTGGAAAGGAAAGCAGGACTGTGGCTGCAACCATCAGGGACACAGGTACGATATCTCTCTGTGAAACAKC